TCCTTCAATGAACCTCCGATAGTAACCCGCTAAGCCCACAAAACTCCGAATATCCGTGACAGTCCTCGGGCGTTCCCACTGCAACACTGACTCCACCTTAGCCAGATCAACAGCAATCCCCTCAACTGAAATCACGTGGCCCAAGAACTTCACCTCCTCCAACCAGAACTCACATTTTAAAAGCTTAGCATATAGCTGCTTCGCTCTCAAAATCTCCAACACTGTCCTCAAGTGCTCTCCATGCTCCTCCGGGGTTCTTGAATAGATCAAAATATCATCGATAAATACCACCACGAATTTATCCAAGAACGGCCGGAAAATCCTGTTCATGTAGTCCATGAACACTGCGGGGGCGTTGGTCACACCGAACGGCATCACAATATATTCATAGTGACCATACCTAGTCCTAAAAGCAGTCTTCGGTATGTCACCCTCCTTCACCCTAATCTGGTGATATCCTGACCTCAAGTTAATCTTAGAAAACACCGACGCGCCCCTCAGTTGATCCATTAAGTCATCTATCCGGGGAAGTGGATACTTGTTCTTAATGGTCAATTTGTTTAGCTGCCGGTAATCAACACACATTCGACTACCCCCATCCTTCTTCTTTACCAACAACACAGGACCACCTGATGTTGACAGGCAGAAAATGTGCACACTTAGTCAACCGATCAATAATTACCCAGATAACATCACTATTCCTAGCTGACCTAGGCAACCTAACAACAAAATCCATAGTGATACTATCCCACTTCCATTCCGGAATCTCTATCTGCTGCATCAACCCACTCGGCTTCTGATGCTCAACCTTTGTCTTCTGACAGGTCAAACAGGCCGCCACATACTCAGCGATTTCCCTCTTCATACCAGACCACCAGAAATTCTTCCTGAGGTCTTGGTACATCTTAGTCATACCTGGATGTATGCTAAGTCTGCTCTTATGGCCTTCTTCCAATACAGTTCTCCTCAGCTCAGCATCCTGAGGTAAGCAAATCCTACCTCTAAACCTCAAGATTCCATCTTCCCCCAGCTCAAAACTAGCAGCTTTCTCGGTACCCAGCAAACCAATAAGTCTCACCAACTCTTCATCCTGCAACTGCTTGAGTCCAACCTGCCTCAAGAACTCATTAGTTATGGTAACTGCCCCACAGCTAATGTCATCCTGAGCTAACTCCACACAGAGATTCAAATCTCTGAACTTCTCAACTAGCTCCATCTCTCTAATTATCATACTCGACATGTGGATTGATTTCCTACTCAGTGCATCTGCCACCACATTGGCCTTGCCCGGATGATACATCAACTGAAAATCATAATCCTTCAGAAACTCCATCCACCGCCTCTGCCTCATGTTCAGCTCCTTCAGAGACATTGGTGGCAAGAGATTCATTGTGATAGTGGGTACTGTCAAGGACAGTTGGCAGTACAAGATGGATAAAGAAAAGGATAAAGTGAGAGATGGCTTGATATAGTTGTGAAAGTCTGACTGAGGTATTTATTTTATGCTACCAATGTCAGAAGATAGTAAACGGGGTTTGAGTAGAATGGGTAAGACGGGACCTTTGGTCTGGGGGATAGACCTTTGGTCTAGGTAGTGTTTGGGCATGGGCAATCCCATAGATGGCCAGTCTTTATTGATTATGTGTCGTCGTAGCATGTCGGGTGCACTGACGCTCTGACTATTGTCTACTTGTTTGCGTTTAGTGGGGCATTACCGAATCACTGGACAGAGTGATGTTAAGCTCTAGCTTCACTAAACACTCAAAAGGGAAAATCTCCATGGAGTATTGATTCAAAATGATTTTTAAAAGTATATTTTCAGTCAAAATCTGTATCTTATTCTCATAAGCATATTGCATTATTTGGATTATTATTATTAATGAAAAATCTTATCAATTTGTTGTGTGTATTGATAATTGTATGAACTTATTCTGCACTTGTATGATTTGTTTGTGTGAGATGTGAATGAAATTAAATGTCTAACCCCATAAATATTTTTAAACCCAGATATTGGAGATCTCATAATGCAAAAAAATTGGATGTGCAATTAGAAGGTCAGATGCAAAAATCCATAGCACAGGATGGGGGAGTTTATTTTACTCTAAGTTTTTATAAAATGGTTTGTAATATCTACTGACTTGTATTTAATAAATTTCTTTTTAATATAAATGTCTTCATTTGTTTAAGCATCTTTTCTACATATTATACTAATAATATAAATATTAGTAACCGTAAATAATTAGTTATGATTAGCATATGTAATCTGGAAAGGGGTTACATTAGTTGGTATCAGAGCTCTGGTTATGCATCTTTAGGGCTTGTGTGTGTAGGTCCATTAGGTTATAAGCTTCTTAAGTTCTTTGTAGAATTGTTTTAAATTATTTGAGAATGATTGAATTTGTTTGAAAGTTGGTTGAATTTGTTTGATACTATATTCTTAGGAAATTGTAATATTAGTTGTCCAATTAGTTTAACCAATGGGAGATAGTAAATCTAGGTAGAAAGGTCACCTAGACGTGATATTGGTGTTACTAGATTGATTTAGAGAAATAGGTCATGGCACAAATTATATGAGAATTGGCGTAAGTTTTAGTCAAATAGTAAATTCTAGTGGATGGAACCATATTAGTCAACTTTAAGAAAAATGATCTACTTTAAGTTATAGAGAATTTGAATTTGAAAGAGATGAAGAATGGATTTAGATATTCAAGGATATATTCATAGCTATGGAATGTCTTGATAAATGGATATTTTATCATACTAGGTTCCAGTTTTAAGGAGATACTAAAGTTTGGTGGAATGTTACCTAGAGGATGTTAGAGAGAAAGAAAGAAATCATTGCCTAGGATATATTTAAACTTTATGGAGAAGTATTTTACTACTAGTGTTAGAAATGTAAAGGAGGTGAAATTCAATAAGCTTATGACAATTTGGAATTTGTTACTAAATTTGAGTTACTAGCAAAAATAATCTAGATATTTGCACCTCACCTTTGATGGAGAAAAAAAATTGAGAAAAGACTTAGATATGAGATTAGAAAGGTTGTAACTTCATGGATAAATGAAAAATAGTGGAACATATATTTTGCAAGTGTCAAGGAATAAAAATTATAAGAAAAATTGTGTAAGTGTGAATTTTTGTTGGAGGAAGTAAAATTTTTAGGACATGATATTTCAAAGGAAAGAATAAGTGTATATCCTTCAAAAGTGGAAGTTGGAATGGAAGTGGAGGAACCTAAAATTGTAATTGAGATTAGAAGTTTTCTAGGTTTAATCGGATACCTTAAGATCCATTGAAGGATTTTCAAATATAGCAAGACCTTTAACATAATTGACTAGGGAATATCACCCTTTTATTTGAAGTCAAGAAATGGGATTAGTTTTTCAGGTGTTATATTATACAGGATCCAAATTAACCTTATGAAGTATCAGGGATTAGGTTGGGTATCAATGTAGAATAAGAAAATGATAGCTTATGTGTTCAATTATTTAAGGCCACATGAGATAAGTTACCATACCCATGATTTAGAATTAGCCACTATAAAGATTTGGAGACATTATTTATGGATCTAAATTTGATAGTGATTGTAATAGTTAAAATGTTAATTTGATCAGGAGGAGTTGAATATGAGACAAAGAAGGTGGATGAAATTTATAAAGTATTATGATTTTCAATTATTATTTCATCGAGGAATGGCCAAGGTATTAGTCAATCCTTTGGATAGAAAAGTCATTCATGTTTCAGCTATGATGATAAAAGAAACAAAATTGATATTTGGATACTTGAATTAGTATACTATTAGAGAAAAAGATAAAATAAAATGATATTAAGAATGATTCTATAAATAATGGGTTCTTAGAGGAAATTAAGGGCCTATTGGCACAATCTATTAGAATGTGATTTGCAGAAAACCAATCCATTCCCAAGATTATGTCAATATCCACCAAAGGTAAACAAATCAGGTTCACCTTGTACTTCTTCTCATTCACCACAACTGGGCAACCCACACACAATTCAGAAGCAATCACAGAAGCAGAAGCGGGCGTAGACACTAGCAGTCTCAACCCCAAATCACACACAGGTACACCCAACACAGCAGCACATGCATAAGATATAAAGGAATGCGAAGCACCAGAATCAAACAAAATCATCACGTCCTTACCAGCAGCTTTGCCCTTCCCCTTCACAAGGTCAGAAGAAGTCGAAGCCTCAGCACCTGTCAAAGCAAACACCCTACCAACAGTAGTGGGTCTATCACCCCTCTGAGTATCAACTCTCTGTGCACTACTCCTCTGAGTCTCAGCCCTCTGCCCATCACTCCTCTGAGTGCTCCTCTCAGGTCTACTCCTAGTGGGACAGTTGGACGACTCGTGGCCCATCTGATGACATCGAAAATAGCAGCTCTCCGTGTGTGGATAGTCCTTGACAAAGTGGGGTCCGGCACACCTGTAACATCTCAGAGCGGCACCTCCACTCTGTCTACCTCCACTAGCAGCACTGGAAGATTGCCGAGCAACAGAACCCCCTTGCTGTGACTGGGGCCTGTCATATGGCTTCCTCTGACTCTCACCCTTCTTAGACCCACATGGCCCCCCAGCAATTCTCATAGCACGGTTACCACCTTCCAACCGCTCCACCACCTTTGCCTTCTCCACTAAGGCCGGGAACTCAGTGATAGCCATAGGCACCACCACCCTCCTCAACTCATATCTCAACCCATCAGCAAATTTCTGGCATTTTCAGGCCTCAACTATACCTTGCGAATAAAAACGAGCCCAGATACTCGAATTTCATCGCATATTCCGAAACCGTCATCCCTCCCTGGTGTAACCTCATAAACTCAGCCTCCTTAGCGTGTCTCACACTTTCAGGGAAGTACTTCTCCATGAACACTGTCCTGAAGCACTCCCAATCAACTGTGACTCCTCTAGCGGCAAGCATCTGATAGGTGTCTCTCCACCAATGTTCAGCCTCCCCAACAAGCATATACACAGCATATGCTAACCTCCTCCACGGGTCCGACGGAGACTCCCCACCAGACACCTACCTATCCCTGCTCTGCTCCCATACATAGTATGATCATCACAGTCCAACACCATGGAGACAACCAAAGGGTAAGCTAGTGTAATTAAAAATCAACATGCAAATATATATATATATATATACTCTCAAAATCTCCAACACTGTCCTCAAGTGCTCTCCATGCTCCTCCGGGGTTCTTGAATAGATCAAAATATCATCGATAAATACCACCACGAATTTATCCAAGAACGGCCGGAAAATCCTGTTCATGTAGTCCATGAACACTGCGGGGGCGTTGGTCACACCGAACGGCATCACAATATATTCATAGTGACCATACCTAGTCCTAAAAGCAGTCTTCGGTATGTCACCCTCCCTCACCCTAATCTGGTGATATCCTGACCTCAAGTTAATCTTAGAAAACACCGACGCGCCCCTCAGTTGATCCATTAAGTCATCTATCCGGGGAAGTGGATACTTGTTCTTAATGGTCAATTTGTTTAGCTGCCGGTAATCAACACACATTCGACTACCCCCATCCTTCTTCTTTACCAACAACACGGGAGCACCCCACCGCGAAACACTCGGTTGCACCAACTGCTTTTCCAACAAGTCCTCCAATTGACCCTTCAGTTCAACCAGCTCAGCAGGAGCCATCCTATAGGGAGCTACTGACACTGGTCCCGCACCTGGAACCAAGTCAATGCTGAACTCCATCTCCCTAACAGGAGGCAACCCAGGCACCTCGTCAGGGAACACCTCGGCATACTCCCTCACCACATCGATATCAGCTAAAACCCTCTCGGTTTCCACACTCATAGCAGCAAGCAGAAGACAACACTCTGCTCCGTCTCTCAATAATGACTCAGCCTGGCCAGCTGAGATCAACAGCTCATCCTCCTCCTGAGAAAAAATCAACCGCCTATTGGCACAATCTATTAGAATGTGATTTGCAGAAAACCAATCCATTCCCAAGATTATGTCAATATCCACCAAAGGTAAACAAATCAGGTTCACCTTGTACTTCTTCTCATTCACCACAACTGGGCAACCCACACACAATTCAGAAGCAATCACAGAAGCAGAAGCGGGCGTAGACACTAGCAGTCTCAACCCCAAATCACACACAGGTACACCCAACACAGCAGCACATGCATAAGATATAAAGGAATGCGAAGCACCAGAATCAAACAAAATCATCACGTCCTTACCAGCAGCTTTGCCCTTCCCCTTCACAAGGTCAGAAGAAGTCGAAGCCTCAGCACCTGTCAAAGCAAACACCCTACCAACAGTAGTGGGTCTATCACCCCTCTGAGTATCAACTCTCTGTGCACTACTCCTCTGAGTCTCAGCCCTCTGCCCATCACTCCTCTGAGTGCTCCTCTCAGGTCTACTCCTAGTGGGACAGTTGGACGACTCGTGGCCCATCTGATGACATCGAAAATAGCAGCTCTCCGTGTGTGGATAGTCCTTGTTTTGGTGCATGGAACCTTAGGTTAGTTGATATTTTTTTTATTGTAGTTTTTGATAAATTTGATGCTTTAAGGTTGAATCTTGAAATGGTTGGTTGTTTATGATTGAATGTTTCTATTGAAATTGTTTGAATTGTATTTGAAGAGTTTGATTGAGAATAATTTTTGAAGTGATAGATTAATAGTGATGCATATTGCATATTGCATAATGTCATTTTTGAGTCAAAAGATTTTTGGGGGGAAAAGAAAAGAATTTCAAAAAATAAATATTTGAGAAATGAATTTTGTACCAAGGATATTTGATAGAAAAAGAACGAGTTTTGCAATTTTGAAATGATACTTTTTACGTGAATTCTTTTCTTTATGTTTACTATCTGAGACATTGGTGGCAAGAGATTGATTGTGATAGTGTGTACTGTCAAGGACAGTTGGCAGTACGAGATGGATAAAGAAAAAGATAAAGTGAGAGAGAGCTTGATATAGTTGTGAAAGTCTGACTAAGGTATTTATTTTATGCGACCAATGTCAGAAGATAGTAAACGGGGTTTGAGTAGAATGGGTAACGGGACCTCTGGTCTGGGGGATAGACCTTTGGTCTAGGGAGTGTTTGGGCATGGGCAATCCCATAGATGGCCAGTCTTTATTGATTATGTGTCGTGGTAGCCTGCCGGGTGCACTGACGCTCTGACTACTGTCTACTTGTTTGCGTTTAGTGGGGCATTACCGAATCACTGGACAGAGTGATGTTAAGCTCTAACTTCATTAAACACTCAAAAGGGAAAATCTCCATGGAGTATTGATTCAAAATGATTTTTAAAAGTATATTTTCAGTCAAAATCTGCATCTTATTCTCATAAGCATATTGCATTATTTGGATTATTATTATTAATGAAAAATCTTATCAATTTGTTGTGTGTATTGATAATTGTATAAACTTATTCTGCACTTGTATGATTTGTTTGTGTGAGATGTGAATGAAATTAAATGTCTAACCCCATAAATATTTTCAAACCCAGATATTGGAGATCTCATAATGCAAAGGCTAAAAACCTAATTTGGTCCCTTATAATAATTTTTTGTTTCAATTTAGTCCCATTTTTATTTTTGGTTTAAATTTGGTCCCAAACTAATTAATTGGTTTCAATTTAGTCCCTAATAAATTAATTGGTTTTAATGTGGTCCTTCCGTCAAAATTTCTTTAACGTCGTTAAATATTGAGGGCGTGGACGCCAATTGGTGCTGACGTGGATTGATAACAGGCAGGCGGATGCCAACGTGGATTGGGACGTGGATGCGTTTTTATTTTGCTTCTTGTTTATGTTTTTGCGGATGGGGAGGGGTTCATTATTCTCATTTAAGGGTTCTTTGTCCGCCTCCAGTTCTTCTTCTTTTGTTATTGTTCTTCTTGTTGTTGTTGTTGTTCTTCTTCTTCTTCTTCTTCTTGTTGATAAATTAGTTTTTGTTGTCCTCATGTTGTCATTTGTAGGATTTAAAGTTAGGGTTTACTGTTGAAGAATGCAAACGTCCCGGATGTCTGCGAATTCACGCCCAATGAACTCCACGAATTCAAGTGGGTTTGAAAGTCATGGTAGTAGGTATTTTGTTCCCTATTGCTATTGCGGAGAGGTTGCTGTGTTGCGAACAACAATGACATCTACCAATGCTGGTAAAACATTCTAGGGTTGTCCAAATTACAAGGTATGTAATGTAAATTAATTAAATTAATTTAGCCCTAATTGCTGATTTTGTGGTTTTGTTTATTTGGTTTTAAAAATTTGTAGTTTGGTGATGCTGAACAACAAGGATGCAACTTTTTCAAGTGATCTTTAGAGGAATATGTGGATGAAAGAGATTTGTTAGTAGCTAGGCAGAAGAGAAAGATGAACAATCTCCAGAGTTCTTTGAAGTCAATAAGATGGTGGATGAAGTTGTTGATAATTGTTGTAATTTTTTTGTTGTTGTTGAATTTGGTTTTAATGTATGTAATTTGTAACAACTTGGTTCAATTTGGAAGGGTGTCTTATTTGAAGTAGTGAAATATGGTATTTTGTATTTAAAGACACCTTTTGGGATATTGTTGATGGTTATTTTTGTAATGTTGGTTTAATTGCAATGGAATTATCAAGAATTAGTAATGATAGTATTGTATTGCTCCAAATTGAGACTATGTTCTATATTAAAAAGTCTAAACGAAATCAATCCTGCTCCACAATTTGGGCCACTCAATATTTCAATGTGGAGAGAACTAAGGAACTCAAGAACAACCCTTGGATAAACCTTTTCGACATGGATCCTCGCAAAATTAGTCCATCCAATGTTTGTCAACATAAAATTGATGTCAGCACGTAACCCTAATTGCCGCAAAAATTGAAAATCAAGATACCTTGTTGCAGTGATTGTACGAGTACTGAGAGTCTGATACCTATCGTGTTGCTGACTATCTCGAAATTGTAGAGGCGGAAGAGCTGGTACTTCCATGTCTTCCAACTCAGGTGTGGGATTGTTAGAAGATGAGCCATGAGATGCACGAGTTCGCTTTGGGGCCATTGCAAGGGTCTTGGTTTCAGTGGGTTTTGGGGGGTTGGGATGAATCACGGGCTGGGTTCTTTTTGGGTGGGACAAATCACGGGCTGGGTTTTTATAAGAGTAAGGTAGGGTTTTCGGTTTAGGGAGAAATCACGGTGGTGGGTTTTTATAGGAGGAAGGTATGGTTTTGGGAGGGTGGGATGAATCACGGTCGTGGGTTTTTATATGAGGAAGGTAGGGTTTTGGGTGGGTGGGACGAATCACGATCGTGGAATGCGTGATGGGCGTGGATATTTATAGGATTTAGGTCACTGATGTCGTGTCAATCACGGGCGTGATTGTGAATCACGGCCGTGATTCTCACGGGTCTGGCGGGTTGAAGTTAACATGTTTTTATTGTGACTTATAACAGAGGGAATCACTGGCGGGTCTGGCAGGTCTAAACACAAAAAATTTTAAACCCTAAACACTAAAACCAACAAGCAACAATCTTTAACTTTGTCATGGTTTCCAATGTGGTCGTGCTTTCCTAGGCTTCAACTTCTCCCTGGGTTGGGCCGCCTCAGATGCTTGTGTGGGTTGAGATACTTGGGTGGGCTGAGATGGTTGTGTCGGTTGAGATACCTCAGTGGGCTGAGATGGTTGCGCCTTCTTCTTCTTCTTCAAAACCCTAACAAAAACTGTATCTCCAAACAAACCAATGAATCAGACTTCTCTCATCTCTGTTTTCTCTTCTCTCTCTCGCAGTTTTGGCACAAAAAATCACTCTTTCTTTTTGCCACGTGGAAAAAATCCAAACGTCGTTAAAGAAATTTTGACGGAAGGACCACATTGAAACCAATTAATTTATTAGGGACTAAATTGAAACCAATTAATTAGTTTAGGACCAAATTGAAACCAAAAATAAAAGTGAGACTAAATTGAAACAAAAAATTATTATAAGGGACCAAATTAGGTTTTTAGCCTAATGCAAAAAAATTGGATGTGTTGTTAGAAGGTCAGATGCAAAAATCCAGAGCATAGGATGGGGGGGTTTTATTTTACTAAGTTGTTATAAAATGGTTTGTAATATCTACTGACTTGTATTTAATAAATTTCTTTTTAATATAAATGTCTTCATTTGTTTAAGCATCTTTTCTACATATTATACTAATAATATAAATATTAGTAACCGTAAATAATTAGTTATGATTAGCATATGTAATCTGGAAAGGGGGTTACATATATGATATGAAATTGAGCTATGAGATGAGATGTTGTATGGATGTGAATATGATTATGATTGTGGTTCCTCACATCAATGACCAGGGATTGCACGACCCCTGGGTAAGTGATGCTACAGGGAGGGCGTGACCCTAACATGGTGTGGGATGAGTAAGACAATTAACACGTATCACTTATGTCAAATATGGCAGCCCTGACATAGGGTTAATTGCAAGATTTATTTGGATTGTGATGTGATTGTGGTTCCTCACATCAATGACCAGGGATGACACAACCCCTGGGTAAGTGATGCTACAGGGAGGGCGTGACCATGGCATGGTGTGGGATGAGTGAGGCAATTAACCTGTATCACTTATGTCAGTTGTGGCATGGCCTTGGCATAGTGTTAATTGTAAGATTTGTGTGAATTATGGATGTGAAAATGATAATGTTAATTGCAAGATTTGTGATTAATTGGTGTGATTGCGAGTTATGACTTGAAGATGATGCATGATTGATAAATTATGATATATATAAATACTTGTGAATATTTTATTAAGTAATGAGTAAAGATGAGATTATGTTGTGTTTTTCTTATGTGCTTTGTATATAGATGTTTTCTTTTCTCACCGTACAATTTGTGGATGTTTTAGGTGACGAAGATCCGGCTATGAGTGACATCTAGAATGCCAACAGTTGAGTTATGGGTATGCTCTGATATTGTGACATTGGGGCAGAGGATTTCTAGGATATGGATTTTTTTTATATAGATTTGGAGTTGTATCTATTATTTTGAAAATAATTTGTAAACCCTTAATTTTTACTTTCCAATTTTTATTTTCAATCATTTTGCATATTGAAGAACATTTGTGAAGGTTTTTATGTGAACCTTTTTACCGACAATTGAAAATTTATTTGTTAGTTTTATTATTACAATATATATGTTGGGGTAGTAAGGGTGTCACAGCGCTTTTTGGCAACCTCCTCGCTCTACAAGAACCTCTATATCACTCAAGAGGTACTTCTAGACTATAGAAACTCTGAAATCTCTACCAAAGGGACCAGAGATTTCTTAATCAGGCTTTTAATGAGTTTTTTTTATACTCAGAATGCTTTTGAAAAGAGTCAAGGGGGAAGAGACTTGTAGTTATCACAAAATCCATATCAAAGAGATAATCCAGTGTGTTAATGAATAAGGGTGATTAAATGCTCAAATAGATGTCAAGGCCACAAAATGACCATTCTCCTCTTAGAATGACCATTTTTAGCGTTATTTTACATGGGAAAATTCAATTTGGAATGACCATACTCACCATGAGAACGGTCGTTTTGGTTAATCATGGAAATAACCATTTTCAAGACCAAAATGGTTATTCTCATGCCTCCAAGCTTGGTTCTTGGTTGTTTGACCCTTGGAATGTCTTTTGGAGGCCTCATGCTCCATCCCAATGCGTTCCGAAGTCTTCAAGGTCCCTTGAGGGTCACTTTTCTCGCTTTAGAAGCTTCCTATCTTCGGATTCTCATCCCGGACAGAAACTAGTGTCTACAATGGTGTCTTAGAAAAAAGATTTATATGAACCACCTTGAAGGGTATGTTTCTATAGGAAAGGAAAATATGATGTGTAAATTAAAGAAGTCAATATATGGACTAAAACAAACTTCCAAACAGTGGTATCTTAAATTTAATAATACCATTACGTCATATGGTTTTATAGAGAACATTGTTGATCGATGTATCTATATGAAGATCAACGATAGGAGGTTTGTAATTTTAGTCTTATATGTTGACGATATTTTGCTTACTACTAATGATGTTGTTATGTTACATGATGTGAAGAAATATCTCTCTAATAACTTTGAAATGAAAGATATGGGTGAGACATCTTGTGTGATAGGAATAAAAATATTCTGTGATAGATCATAAGGAGTGTTGGGATTGTCTAAAAAAGGATATATCAATAAGGTGTTAGAGAGATTTATAATGGAATAGTGTTCTAATACCAAATGTTAGTAAATTTGATTTATGATCACATGTAATTTCATAGAATTCATCATTCAAGAGACTTACATTCAAAAGGATCTTAGATAACATATTTTTCACTATTCTTATACTCCATAACTTTTATGAGAAAGTTTAGAAAACATACCAAGATCCGTTATGTAATACAAAATTTTTAATAAGTTGTTCTCTCTTCTCTTAATTCTTTTAATATGTCTCCATGATGGTATGGAAACCACTTTTATTTGATTCTTGTCAATTCTAAGTTTTCATAATTTCTTCCATGAAAATGGGTTATGTGAAGAAGCATAAAAAGAAATTCTTGAGTGAGAGAGGAAGAAAAAGGAGTTAGCTAATTTTTAAAACCAACTTAACTTCTGTAACTTCTTTTAATTTCTATTTTCCAAATTCAAATTTTTAATGCTAAAATTACCTTTCTAATAAAGTGAGAAGGGATGAAATTAATTTTAGTAACTTTAAAATAATTGCCAATAACTCTTAATATATTCTAAGTATAACAATCATCATATTAAACATCTTTTCATTAAAAGTTATTTTTTTAAATACATGAGTCAATATTAAATTAAATAATAATAAGAAAATTTAGTTACTCAAATCTTTTGATAACACTATAT